GCACGTGAAGCTTTCTGGAGGGTGGTGTGCCCAGGGAGGGCATAGAGGCTCTGTGCACCTTCCCTCATACCTTGCCCTACACATCTCTTCATTTGTGTTCTTTGCAACATGTTATAATAAACCAGTAAATGTGCTTTCCTGAGTTCTGTGAGCCACTCTAACAAATTAGTTGAACCCAAAGACGGAGTCATGGGAACCAAGACTTGAAGCCAGTTGATCAGATGTTTTGGAGGCCAGGACTGGTGTGTGCAGGGAGATGTCTTAGAAGCTGAGCCCTCACTATGTGGGATATGACACTATCTCCACGTAGTGTTGGAATTAGAGGACACTGCTGGTGTCTGCTGTGTGGCATGTGGGGAAAAATCCACACATTTAATCACAGAAATCTTCTGTATTGATTACTGTTGTGTTGGTGTGAAAATAGACAAAAAAAATGGTTTGGGAGAGTTTTTCCCAAAGCACATTTATAAGAGCACTGTCTAGAACACACACAAAAAAAGATTATTTATTACATAAAAACAAACATTTCTGAACAGTAAATGATAAGGTTAAAATATTAAAGACAAATTTCAAAAGTTGTTGGAATAATAATATTAATGAATAATATTAAGAAATTATCCTTAATATGTAGAGTTCTTAAAAAATGAGTAACAAGACTGGGCATGGTGGCTCACATCTGCAATCCAGCACTTTGGGAGACCGAGGTGGTAGGACTGCTTGAAGCCAGGAGTTCAAGACAACCCTGGAAAATACAATGATACATCATCTCTACAAAAAAATTGAAAAATTAGCCATTAGCCAAGCATGGTGGCATGCACCTGTAGTCCCAGTTACTCAGGAGTCTGAGGCAGGAGAGCCACTTGAGCCCAGGAGTTTGAGACTGCAGTGAGCTGTGACCACATCACTGGACTCCAGCCTGGATGACAGAGTGAGAACTTGATTCTAAAGAAAAAAAAAAGAGTAACAAGTGGAAAAAAAATCTAACTGAAGTGATCAAAGGACATTAAAAAGACATTCACAGGACAATATATGCATGGACAATAGAAATACAAAAGTGGTTCAAGCTCACAAATAACCAAATAAATATAAATTACAACACATTTTCATCAGATTGTCAAAAATTAAAATAATTGGTAATTCTTCATGGTTGCAACATTGCCAAGCATAGATTGCTGACAGGATTGTAAATTGTTAGAACTTTCCTGACAATCTGACAATCTACATATAAAAGTAAATATTTATTCCCTTAAATAACCACGATTCCATTTCTTGGACTTTATATAAGGCAAATAAAGATATATATATGCACATATGCTCAATATAAACCTATTCATCATTGGAAAACAAATTATACATTGACATTCTGCATACATTATAAATAGGAAGACCTCTACATGTTTATATGAAAGGTCGTTAATATCAAATGAAAGAGGATTCAAAGGATGAGTAATTTGATACCATTTGTTGTAAAGTACAGCACTTTCAAATGCACTAAACACACACACACACACACACACACACACACACACACACACACACACACACACACACCCCCAAACCCTCCAACTACACATGTGATCAACAATATTTCTGGGAAACAGAATTGTTAAGTGTCTGGTGGGAGATGGGATAGGGAAGGAAATCAATGACAGTAGGGAGATGTATATACTTTTACTATTTGAACTTCTAAATGATATATTATATATATAATATATATTTACAGATATATTTATTAAATGATATTATAACACAAAATGTCTATTTGGAAAGAAAAGTCCAAAGCTGATCTATGTAGTGAATTGTAAAGCAAATGAAGGAGACTAAATTTCTGTCATTTAGAAGTTTTCCATCTAAGTTATTACTGACACATGAAAGGGATAAAAATACTAAAACCACATCATCTGAAGGCACAGCAATAAATGCATTTATTGAAACAGAAAGAAAAAAAGGTTAAGAATACCACATCAGAGGCAGAGTGATACCATTGGAAACTGTACTTTTTATTAAATTATCAGCTTAAAAGTATTTGTTGCTACTTTTACTTTACAGAGGACTCACTGTTAAATACTGAGGATATAGTTAATGCATAATCCCAGACTTCAGGAAGCTTATTTAGGCAAGACAAATGTGATCAAGAGACAAGCTTTCTAACAGAACAATCTGAAACAATAATGCAGAGTGAAAGTAGAAAATTATCTATTGAAAAATAAAGACTATGGTTATGAAGCAAGCACATTTAGTCTGGAAAAAACTTTATGAAGGAAGAAGAAAACTTTATGAAGGTCTTTTGTGTCAGACACTTCTGAGACCTCTGCTAGATTCTCTCCCTAGAATGCCACAGCCTTTTCCCTTCTCCATTGCTCAAAATGCTGCTTATCCAGCAACCAGTTTAAATATCAACCATAAAGCATTAAACGTCCATACCTTTTGTACTCATTTAAAGTACATTGCAAAGTATGTAAATGTATTACCATTTACACTTAGCTGTGTATCTCATAGACAAAACTATAAGCCCTTAAGTGCATAAGAAACTGCTTGAATCACCTGTGTATCATCAATGACTAACAAGGTGTCCTGCATAGTGTCAAAGCTGGTGAATGACAGAAATTGGCGAGAAGACAATAGGACTAGTCTAGGCTAGAGGGTTACAGAGTTTTAATGAGCAAATTCCAAGACAGAAAAGATAAAGCCTATGTGAATACAGCATGGGACAAATGTTTTGAAGAACACAGGGAGGGCATCATCGTCAGCTTCTTTTCGTACCAGAAAATAAAAAATAATCAACAAAGTCACTATATTCTAGGCAAGAAAAATTGCCAGACCTGACTTTTCAAAGCAACTCACATTGTGAGAAAAGCATAAACAATCTAGATTGCAGTTCAGCACACTGCTTCCTTTTTCCTTCATAAAACATAATTGGCAGAAGTACTACTTGAAGCAAAATAAAAATTGCATGTGGGGATTTGCTTATTTTGTGAAGCCACATGAATTTTTCCATGAATAACATAAATGTGACATCTTTTTTGATGTGTATTGTGGCGGCAGAAAGAGATTAGGACTGTTTCACTAAACATTAATTTTCTATATTGTCAAACATGATTTCAAAATCTGAAGCAAGCATTTATTACACATTTTCTGAGTATGCCATTGTATTATATCCTGATAGTATAGTATAGCTTGTTGCAAACCTTTTTCAATTCATACTTCCTTGAAAACAGAACTGTCCAAAAAAAGGTAATGTGAGCCTCTCATGCAATTAAAAAAAAATCTTTTTGTAGAAAAATAAATTTTAAAAAGCTGAAATTAAATATATTTAACCCACTGTGCCAACAATATTATAATTTTACCAATATAAAACTGAGAGTTTATATTTTTCTTGCACATCTTCACAATCAGGTACGTATTTTACACTGATATCACATCTTAACTTGGACTAGCCACATTTCTAGGGCTCAATACTCACACGAATCTCAATCACAATACAGGACATTGGTGTATAACCTACCACTGTCTGGCACATCTACTTGTAGACAAAGGTTGTGAATGTCTGTCACTTTGCAAGCTCTATATCCTATCTTTATAGATTTAAAGACAGACATACCACTAGTAGAATTCATTTATTACCTAACATCCAACTGTGAGACCAGCACAATGTCTGGTACTAAAAAAAATGGCAACTAAAATGACACAGGGAGTTCATTTCGACCATTCATCTATTTGCAGGTACTAACACAGGTAACAGTGAGTGGACAATCCTCTTACTTTACAGTACTTAACACAATCACTATATTTTCTTACTTATACTGTGTGTGTATGTGCATTTGTCTCTCCTATGATTGCCATGAAGAAAGGAACTACATCTGTCTTCCTTGCCATTGTATCTGTGGGCCTTAGCAGAATGTATTATACAAAGTAAATGGTCAGATCTCTGGCAAATGAATTTCCTACTAGTCAGAATCTTTTCATGAGATTCTCCTTTAACAGAACAAAATCAGATGGCTGAGGCACAAATGAACAAGGAAAGAGAACAGCCCTTTCCACCGACCTCTCAGACTTAAAAAAAAAAAAGAAAAGAAAACAATAACAAAAAAAGAAAACAAGGACTCAAATGCAGCTGGAAGGAAAGAACAGTATCATTTCCCAACACACAGTCAGTACTGGCATGATTCTTAAAACCCATGGAGACTTCAGAAACTTCTTTGGTAAACCATTGTAAGTTAAATAATAAAAATGCTGTAGTAGCCATGTGATATAGTTTGGGTGTTCATCCCCTCCAAATCTCACATTGAAATGTAATCCCCTATGTAGGGGTGGGGCCTAGTGGAAGGGGTCTGGGTCAGGGGGGTGGATCCCTCATTCATGGCTCAGTGTTGTCTTCTAGGTAATGAGTCCTTGCTGTTTGCTTACAGGAGAACTGGTTGTTTAAAAGAGCCTGGCACCTCCCTTTTCTCTCTTGCTTTCACTACCACCAGGTGACACACTGGCTCCCCTTCCCTGTCCACCATGATTGTAAGCTTCCCGAGGTCTCACCAGAAGCAGATGCCAGCACTATGCTTCTTGTATAGTTGCAGAACCGTGATCCAAATAAACCTCTTTGTACATCACCCAGTCTCAGATATTCCTTTACAGCAATGTAAACCAGACTAATATACCATGATAAAGGCCCTGACGAATGTCCTGAGATTTTAAAAAACAAAATCCAACAGTATGTAATGACTAAAGATGGTATCTACTACTATTGTATTATAAAGTCCTTTTGCTAGTCTTGAGATTGTAGAAATAATTTTATGTAGACTGTAAAACCTGGAAAAATATGGGTCAAGAGTGAAAGCAGCTCTTATCTTTTGATTCTGTATAAAATTAAATGGCACTTTAATAATATTGGTTTCCCCAAATTAATTTATAATCGGTTTTATAATTTGTAGCACAAAAAACCTCCAACTCCTAATCAAGTGTTTCCGGTTTTGTAAACTACTGGTATATATAAACATTTCATATCATTTAAAAATGCTTATAAATTTATTGAATGTAATTCAATTTTTTAAAAACTGAATCATCTTTAAAATGCACTAAAGATAATTACTTTTCTGTTTTCTTTTTTGGTGAGCATTCCAAAATTGGGGAAAATTCAGCCTCTTCATTGTGTTTTCTTTTCTTTTTTTTCTTTTTATGGTCACTTTGGTAACCACTGGAGTCACTGCCTTGGAAAACAGGGTCCTGGTCCTGATCTTCCTGGTGCTTTTTCTTTTTCTTCTTCTTCTTCTTCTTCGGTTCGTCCTCCCAGAGGCCACTCACATTATTAGTATTCTGCAGGTCTGATTCTTTCTTTGGGGTATCATCTGTAAAATCTGCTAGTTTTGTGGCACCATCGTCCACTTCACATATTTCTGGGTCTTTCTTCTTCTTCTTTTTCTTCTTTGGAGGTTTTTCTACAGCTTCTTCAGCACAGGTATCTGTTGTTTCTGCAGGAACTTCAGGGCACTTAAATTTTAAACTGTAAATTAAATTTTAAAAATTAACAGAGCAGAAAGAAAAAAGATCAAAGAACAAAATAAGGTCAAGAATATCCCAAAAGGTCAAGATTTTCTAAATAATGACAGCAGTGTAATATATAACACTGGCATAAATTTCAAATATTCTATTCTATTATCCCTCAGCCCACTGAAATATTTATGTATGGGCTGTTGAATGTTAAATTCAACAATATTAACTTAACATTAAATGTCAAATTCTTTGCTTGCAAAGTACTTCTCCCAGACTGTTTTCACACATAAAAATGACATAAAAATCTTGTTAAAACATGTCTTCTAATTTTTGGTTTGGTTCAGAGAATTTGGTTGCTGAGCATTACACATCATAATACCCAGGCTTATTAGCCAAACCACTGACATTTGACAGAGAGAAAGTATACTTCTGGTATGTATCAAAGTAATGGTGTTTCCTGTCTACTATTTCAATCCCGATTCAAATAATAGTCCATTGTTCTACTTAACCTACACTGAGGTAGTGTTACTTCAAAGTTGTGAATTATTTTATACCACTAAAATAAAACAAATTTCAATGAAGCAGCTCTCTCTCCTAAACTGCAAAGTCCTATGCATGTGTACTAGGTACATATAGCTATTGCATTAATTTCAATGACATAACTTTCAAAATGTAACTCTTCAGTCACACTAGTCACATTTCCAATGGTCACTAGTGAGGCTCCTGTATTATGCATATATGGCACATTTCTAACATTACAGAAAGTTCAATTGGAGAGCTGTTCCAAAACTTTAATCCACACAGTACCATAAATAATCCAGAAAATACCTACCTGGCACAGATGACAAGCTGACAGTTAGCAATATAATTGTGCTTAAGTAGTTTCAGGTGCAGTGATCAACTTTTTAAAAAATTAACAACAAACTACAGAATGCTGAGTTAAATCAGACTATTAAAATATAGAGTAGTTACCTAGACACAGATGTTTTGAATATTTATTTGATGCATGCTTACAGATTACTTAGATTCCTGTTTATACTGACTTTATGGTTTGAAAACATTAATAAACATGCTGTAAACATTTTAAAAGAGGGGCTTATGTTCTCTAAATTCAGAATTAAATAGAAACAAGTATCCAACAATAATTATGTGAGATGAACTAACCTAGTGATATTTAGTTTTCCGCGAATGCAGAATACTCCAGCAGCATCTGAATCTAAACGAAATACTTCAAATTCTAGTTCATCACCCAAGTTTATCTCCAGGGTTTGCCACTGCTCAGCTGACAACTGCTCAGGTTTTGGAATGGAGGCATTAAAACACCCATGTACTAAACAGCCGATGTGGCTAGAAGACACTTTATTAACTGTACCCTGAGAACAAGGAAGAAAGCAGAACATCAAGAAGAGATTCACAGAGTTAAAAGGTGAACTAAACTTTACAAGCTTCAGACAATCTTCAAAGAGAAAATATCAAATTAATGGTTTAATTTAACATGGAAAAGCTTACCTCAATTAAAACATACCACATGTCAAGCCAAAACATCACTTTAGAACACTATTTAGTTTCTAGAAAGCTCAAATTTTATTAAATAAGTAATTGCATATTAATGGTCTAACTGGATAAACAACTCCCCCGACTTGCAAAACAAAACAAAACAAACAAAAAAACACCTTAACTCCCCACTGTAGGTTTCCTTAGGGAATTATTCTTTGACAACACTGAAAACAAGCAGAAAATACTCTCTGATATAAGCTGCATGTGAAAAAGACCTGAAGGCAGGAAGCACATGCTTTTTATAACTGGAATCCATTATTACATTTCTGTAAACAGATGAAATTTCAAAGCTTAAAAATGCATTCTTTAATGATTCAATTTAGATGATGCAAACATTCCTATTAGAAGATAGCTTATCCTCTATATGTAAATCTTGAGTATGGTCATTTTGGTGAAATAATAAAAACATTAGGAGCTTTAAAACTAAAATAAAAGTACACACTATATGATTTTAAGCTTAAGATAAAACTTTCCATAAAACTTTGTGTTCCTCTCAGAATCAATATATATAAAGTATATGAATGAAAACTGAAATATTAAAAAATTCACGTTCTCTGAATTGTAAAATGGTAAATAATACTGACATGTATACAATGCTGTTTAACATTAGCAACCTTTTACATATGTGACAGAATAAAACTCTATCTGTCATGATCAAGAATCTGCTGTCCCCACTAGTAGTTTTTGGATGGTCTATATAAACAAACTGACACACCTATAAAATGGATGATTTATCAATAAAAAGAAATAAGCCATAAAAGACATGAACTTGAAATGTACATTGCTAAGTGAAAGAAACCAATATGAAAATAATATCTACTCTTTTATTCCAACTATATGACATTCCAAAAAAGGCAAAACTATGAAGACTGTCAGACCAGTGGTTGCCAGGCATTAGCAGGGAGGAAGGAAGGGAGGGAGAGATCAACAGGTAGAGCACAAGGGATTTTTAGGGAAGTGAAACTACTCTGTATACTACAATAGTAGACACATGCCATTAGACATTTGTCAAAACTCATAGAATGTAAACTGTAGGTTTTATTTATTAATAACGTATCGATATTGGTTCAACAATTGTTTAGTTCAATGAATTTTATCAAGTCCATAAACAATTCCATCTCCTTAGAAAGAAGACGCATTTTATTATATGTAAATTATATCTCACTAAACATAAATCATAATTTTAAAAAGTGACTGGTCACTTTTACAAGGGATACCTCCAAAACCTGGAATTTATCTTACATGTTTACACTTCGGTCACTTTCACAGTACTCTGTTTGATGCAATATACTGATTCAGACACTTTTTTTGCTATTTAAAACCATTTTCATACATGTCAATTTGGATTCCTTCTAGTGCTTCATTCATTTTTTGTTTCATCTCTTCCACATCAGCAAAAATGTATCGCTTTGAGGACTTTTTCATCAGGGAAACAAAAGAAGTCATTTGGAGCAAGATTAGATGAATAGGGAGGGTAGGGCATAGGGGCCATGCCATATTTAGTCAAAAAACCGCTGAACTCTCAGCATGGTGTGGACAGGTGTGTTCATAAATCACTCATCATGAAAAAGGCAAACACACTGAAAGAATCTCCAAAAAAAAATTCACTGAAGCTGAATGCAGCCTTCCACAACACTAGCTGGTATACTGATGCTGAAGGGTTCCTAGAACTCTTGCATAGCAGGGGAAGGCTGTTCTACAAGGGTCCCACCCTGTGAAAAGATAATTCTGGTTTTTTTTCTGGGATACTCCCTCATATTAGAGGTCTAGATTCTGTTGTAGTGGATAGAATAAAAGGGGTATTTTCCATTTTATCCTTTCTATGTGATTTAAATATTATTTCCATGTACTACATGCTTACATTTAAAATAATAATTTACACAAAGCAGACGAAAGTTAAGTTTGGAAAGTTTCAAGTACAAATCTACTGTCAACTTTAATAACATGGAATCTGGTTGAAAATGCCAGTTTCACAAGCAAAAGATACTATTTCTATTAGTATAATATTGAAAAAAAATTGAAGTGCCTTGTGGATTTTGTCACAGTGAAACTGTTCTATATTTTTATTAATGGTATCAAGGGTTCATTAACAGTTCTGCTCTATTAAAGAATATTTTATAGGAATTGCTTAATTGCTAAGAAAAAACACATGAAAATATATATGTGTATGTATATATACACACACAGAGAACTGCTGAAGGAAGAAAGGGGTAAGTAAAGAGGATAAAGGAACAATGTTTGTATAGATTTCACATCAATTCCTGCATTTCTAACTTCTGAAAAACCAGAAGACCTTCCCCAATGGCCTTCACTTCCAAGCAGACTTGCCATCCTGTCCTCTGTCATTCATTCATTTTCATTACCTGCCTGCCCCATTTTAACTCCTGTTTCATATATTACTAGATTCTTTGAATCCTTTATAAAGAAAAGATATTTCTGTACAATTGAAACTTTTAAAAATAATATATATATATATATATATATATATATTTTTTTTTTTCCCTTAAAATCATTCTAATACTATGCAAGGAATAAATTGGATGGGACATATATTCAGTGCATGAATGTTTTTTCAGAAGATGAAATTTTAAAACTTACCTAGTTTGAAATGATAGAAATAATTTTTTTAAATTAATTTTTATTTACTCACAATAGCAATTTATTTGAGTCCTAGGGTGTTATATAGTCTCTTAAAATTTTCCAAATTATATGGCTGTACAAAGAAAGTTAGAAAAAAATTACATACATACCATAAGCTTCTGCCCTGGTTCAGGGCAGAAAATAACAAAATCTGCTTCAATGTTAAGATGAATGTGTCCTTGGTCATCATAAATATCTCCCAGTTCACCCACAACTTTGATGTTATCATATGCAATGGGGACACCTAAAAGACTGCAAATAGAAAGAGGAGAAAAATGAAACATTTTATCCTCTTTTAACTAGACCATTTTCATACTGATTAGATATTAAGAGTCCAAAAAGTACACATGTGCTAAATTTACCACCTAGGTGAAAAACACAATAGTATATGATTAGTCTATAACAACTTCAGCAGTTGTATTTCACTATGGGTTCTGATGTGTAGGCTAAGTTAAAAAGGATTATTCAAAGGATTGTTCTAAGGTACTTAGAAACAAAATGTCCAATTATGCTCGAGCAATAAACTGACCCTTCTTCCTATTTGCTACCTATTTGAATTCTTCTAGTCATGCTAGAAAGACAAATCATAGAGTTTTGCAAGGAAAATGTTTGTGTATTTCTGTGAGTTGACTGAATAACAGGCAAAATTTTGGTTTACCCACCATTACTGAAATTCTTGATGACATATAGCAAGGGATGCACTTGAGTTAAAGCTGAAGACCCTGAATATTAGAGTCAATGATTTAATACAGAAAAACTCCAAATTGTAACTGCTAGTAAATGGAAATGTTAAGAAACACAACTACATCATTAAGAATTGACTCTGACATTTTAGGCTACAAATTTGACAGTCAGGATTATGAGGCAACTCTCTTTCAAAATATCATTTCCCAGTTATTAAGAAATTATAACTACTATGGAGAAAAACATCATGGCCTCATTACCCACTACTTGTTGGAGAAAACTTCCTTGAGTATCATAGACAAAGCTGAAATCACTTTTCTACTCCTACAGAACCCCATAAACATCTTTTATCACTGTACTTAATCTAGTTTTACTGAATCTATCTGTATATGTGTTTGAATTCCACACATGAATCTAAGGCCCTTGACAGGAGAGAAGAGCTTTTTTGTTGAACTCAATTAAATTTCTAGTGTGATTCATATAAAATAAGGAAAAGAATTCATTCCTAATACATGTTTAGAAAAACAGCCAGGAGCCACAGTAAAGAAATTTGAATAACTACTAAGTTAGGAAAATCATAAACTCAAAGACTTACTCAGGAAAGCAATCTTTTGAGTTGATAATTTCTGCACGTGGCTTTCCTAAGCAGGAATCATACCATCACTACGACAATATTAGGGACACAGAAAACAGAGTTAGAGAGCTGGAATAAAAAGCAAAAGTAACTGCCATACTATATGAAAAAAACAGAAATTAAGACTTTGTTTCATCTAATCAAAGCCCTCCCTCTGGACTACCAGAGAGTAATTCTCAAGTGGAAGGAATATTGTGGTCTCCTAGGGAGCATTTGGAACTTTGTGTTACTATTTATGGTTTTCATAAACATGGCAAAAGCCAGGGAAAAGAGTCTACCATGTACAGGATGTTCATGTACCATGAACAATGAAGAAATATCCAGCTTTGCCTGACTTTTAATAAGGGACAAGCCTGTTTATACATTGCTGAGCACATAATCTAACTCTTTCATCTTTGCATGGTTTTAATATACATGAAACTTTGCATAGCCGGGCTCGGTGGCTCAGCCTGTAATCCCGCACCTTGGGAGGCTGAGGTGAGTGGATTGCCTGAGCCCGCGGGTTTGAGACCCACCTGGGCAACTTGATGAGACCTTATCTCTACAATAAATCAAAAAAAAAAAAAATTAGCCGGGTGTGGTAGCGCGCGCCTGTAGTTCCAGCTACTTGGAAGGCTGAGGCGGAAGGATCGCCGGAGCCCAGCAGGTCGAGGCTGCGGTGGCCGGGAGCGGCCACTGCACTCCAGTCTGGGTGACAGAGTGAGACTCGAACTCAAAACAAAAACAAACAAACAAACAAAAAAAACAACTTTGCAGGAATTTAGTAATACATAAATTCAAGGGGCGATTGTGTGTAACTTTACCAAGAATTACTCAACTATTTCAGGAAAGCATTGGTGATTGGGGCTAATGTGTTACCTGCATTGTCAATTCAAAACACCTGTATCAATGTACATTTGTAACCAACAGATTTTTAGGTGTAGATGCAGGAGAACTCTAACTACTTCAGTCTTCCCAGGTAGTCATGCGTGAGCATCAGTCTATTAAAATATATTTTACTCTATCGTATTAGAGAACTATATAGATTTTTTGTAAATGGTGTGGGTATGTGATATTATCTATGGATTTCATTTCAGCACAGTAAAGATAGTTTTCACAACAGTAAAGGTGGCACTGAAAAATATTTCTTATAAAAGTTAGGTGCTGGGTCCTATGGGGTTCAGACCACTAACTAGGGAATGTGATGATAGAGCCTAAGTTCAACAGGATTTGTGTAACTCCATCAAGCCTTTGGGAAAGCAACTCACAGCATGCAACTTATTAAAAGACATCAGATATACAAAGACAAGCACCCAACACTATATACCTTTTCCTCCTTTACTTTTGTTTTTCAGAAATCATTCTAAGTAGATATCTGGTCAGGGTGGTAGCCTCTTCTCTTGAGATATTTAGTAATATATGTTCAACGTTTGTCCCTCATTGATAATACATAGTTCAATATGTGATGCCTGGTTTGTAGCTGAGTAAACATGAGTCTTTGGCATATCTCAGAAGTAACATGGAAGGAGAGGTGCTGTATCTGTTCAGAGCCACTCTGGGTGACTTCCCCCAGCCTGTCAAGCGTAACAATAATTGATTACAGAAAGTAGCAACATAGTTGCCTGTGATTCCAGGTTTAGTGATCACCTTGTATATCCTTACCTCTCTCAAATCCATCCTCTCCATTCATTTTTTCTCTTGGACAACTGTAACATTCTCTTAATTGGTCTCCTTGTTCACTATCTTATCCTTTTTAAACTATCACATGATGGCACCAAGTGCTGTTGCTTAACCTGGTTATGTACTAGAGATTACAAATATGCACTACTCTCTCAAGAATGTGCCAATACTGAGTTAGAGGGTTCTGGGAGGATAAAGCACTAACCTTGCTTAAGAAACAGGAAACAAAACAAAGAATAGCAATCCTCCCCCCAAGCAAACAAACAACAACAAAAACTGGTAGGAAAGGAACAAAAAGAACTATCCTCTGAGTCATCTTCTACCCCATCTTAGATCCCCTGCCCTCCTCTCCAATGCTTTTCCCCCCCGACATAAAACTCATTCCAGTTATACTTACAGTCCTCTAGTCAAAGAAAACCAATTAACACCTACTACCATTTGTTTATGCCACTCTCTTGCCTGGAAAGCTACCATCTGAAAGTACTCTTATCTATCAAGTTGTTCTCAAAGGTCCCAAGTTCCAGTTAACCGGTCCTCTTACTATAACTTAATTTGGATTCTGTCAAATTTTAACACTTCATTGGATTTACTGGCTTACATTTATATCTCTACTATACCTTAAACACAGGGATTTTAATTTTTGTCTTTATATCTCAAGTCCTTGGGATATAATATAAATATACAAGTACACGTTGGTTGCTTGGCAGAAGCTGTATATAGATGCGATTGATTCTTAACCTGGGGGGCAGGGGGGCCCAGGATCCCTTGAGAAAATGTGAAAGATTTGGATAATGTCTAAGGAAATTCACATAGGAAATTCCTGCAATTTCCAAGGGCTCATGGAATTCCTAAAGGACAACTATGAATCCCTAGGAAATCCATTCATGTGGTTTTAGAATTCTTCTTTTGGACCAAAGTACATCCCCCTAAGCGCCCCCCCCCACACACACCTCTGTAACTCTGAGTTTTCAAGTCATTTTTGGCTATCTTAATATAGATACAACAGGAGGTTTTGTTTGTTTGTTTTTTGTTTTTCCTCTCCCAACAGCAATAGGTTCACCAGATAGACTGGATAAATTCTGCTCTTAAAAACTAAACTAGACTAAGCTAGTTTAAATTAAACCAAAGGTTTTTTCCTCATCCCTAATCAGGTGCAAGAGAAGAGAACACGGAGAAACGACCAGGGCCAAAACAAACAACAAAAGTCGCCCTACGCGTTTTACAGTTGAACGTTTCTATGGAATGAGAGATAATCTATTTACATTTAACTGTCAAATGAAAAAAAACATTATCCGAAAGAGTATAAATGAAACTTTCAATGCTAAACAGAACTAGGCCTACCAGGTCTGCAGACCCCGGGTTTGTTTTTACCCCTAGAGGTAGATTCTCCACTCTCTCCGCCAACACTTGAACCTCACCTTTAAGTTTTCTTCTCTGCCTATGAAAAGGAGCCCGAGAAGATCTTTACCCGACCTTGAGGGGCGGATCGTGACTCTAAAAACGCTCGGGGCAAAGCTCCTGGGGGCCACGACGACCTCTGCCATTTGCCCCCTTTCTGCCGAGCCAACAGCACATCGACCCGCTGCCCCTTCCGTCCCCAAAAGAAGGCCTCGTTACGTCACCGTCCGCTTAGAGAAGAAGGCAACGAGACCGGTACCTCTCCGAATAGCGTAGGAGCTCCGCATCGAGCTGCTCTCGAATGCCGGTGCGTTTCCTGTTGAGGTAGCGAGGCGAAAGCGCGATGTGCCTTCGGTGCGGCCCGGGGACCAGGCAGGAGTAGCGGCTATTCACCAGCGCACAAGCAGCAGCATAGGTTGGCAGTTCCAGGCACGGTAGGACGCCAGCTGTTCCTACGAGGGGCCCATCCGAAGCCGCCTTCGGCCAAGGGGCCTCTGAGCCACCCGCAGCCATGCTGCATGTCAGCTTTCCCAAGGCGCGTACCACTGACGCAAACCAACCGCGTTTCCCCCGACGCGCTGTGTGACGTCATCACCAGCAATCACGCCCCTAGGAATTTCCTCTCCTTGCGCTGTAATATGCAGGTCTGACCAGCAGAGGGAAAGAAACCACTTGATCGCGCTCCCAGGACTGAGTTTGGAGCCTGTGGTAGGTATTGAGCCTGCGCGAAAGCCAACTCACATCTTATCTAAGGACGGGCAATTGTATTTTTGCATCATCCTCATTGACTTTAGCATGTTTCTTTAAGGGGGGGGGAGTTCCGCTTTGATCGTTTTGGTAGAATTTTGCAAGCTTGGACTGCACACTAATAAATCAAAAAGATTTACGATATCTTTTAGGCGGTAAACCCAATCCTGAAAAGCCCAGATGCCTCCAGTGCAACATATCTGACAGCAAACCCGCTGTTTCTCTCTAGTCTGGCTTCTCTTCGTTAGGCAATCGCCAAATCAGGGTATTCTACCACTGCTTTAGTGGCCCAACCCAGCAGTCCTCCTCAGGACCTTTCTTATGCACCCAAACATCAAATTAGTCCAAAGGCCTGTGTTGCTTAAAACAAAAACATCACTCAGTTTGGACACCTCTCTCTGTCTTTGCCGCTAAAACTACAGGACTCCTTTCCTGCCTCGGGAAGCCTAGGTTAATTAGGTCAGGAGGACTCTCTGGGACAGCTAGATCTCCGAAACAAATATTTGATCTGTTCTGTTTAAAGCCCGACACAGGCACCCCATTTTCCCTAGGGCAATATAAACTCTTTAGTATGGCTCATACGTATGTTACAAGGCCATTTTATATCTGCTTCTAACGTCTCTTTTCAAGTATCCTGTATCACACGCCTCACCTTAACCTTGTTATGCTCCCGGATCCACATTTAGGTCTCTCTTTCTTCAGGCTTGTGTTGTTCCTTCTAGCAGGGAATATGGTAGCATTTCTCATATGGATAAATTCTACTCATAAGTCAATTTTCATCTTAGATTTTACAGTCCCTTCCTTTGCAAAATGTTTAAAAACATCCTATCCCTCTTTTTTCATAAGGATTGGGTATTTTCCCATCTGTGTTGGCTTTTATGTTAATTTTACCTTCACGGCCTATTTGCTTACCTATTCCATCACTAGACCCCAAGCTCACTAAGGTAGGGAACATGATACCTGTTCACCACCAAGCCTCTATAACTCAATTTCTGCAAAACAAAACAAGACAAAGTGAAAAACCAACTAATACCTCCTAAATGAATGGGTAAATAATGAATGAAATAACAAATGATAAGGAGCTTACAGTCTACATGGAAATGGGATCTAAACATAAACATATAACACAGATTATGCTGGATAAGTGCCAAGATAAATATATAGCAAAGAGTGATGTGAATACTAGAACATCTCTCCTAGATACTGCAAAAAGCCTCCGTCAATCTCTAAATCTGTTCTTTCACTTGTGAAATTGGAATAATGATACTTGCCCTGCCTCCCTTAGAGAAATGATAAGAGGGTCCAATAGCATAAATAAACAGCGTTTCTTTCAGGATTCCTTAACTGACTGCAAATTCAGCATGAGATGATAATGGGATGAAACTGTTCCAAAGCCTAGTGATAGACATTTTAAGTCCACAAATGGGAAATGTGATTTTATTTTGATTGCTGCAAAGTTCTATATTACCCCTGTGCAGGACCCCTTTGTCCAGTGCTCTCAAACTTGGCTATACAATGAAATCACCTAAGGACTTTATAAAACTCCTGATGCCCAGTTGACACCTCAGATCAATTCAGCAAAAATCTCTCCAGGCAATTATGCCTTGCAGTTAAGATGGATCTAAATTGACTGCAGGTGACTTTAGTGAAAACATTTTATTCACAAAACAATTTAGTAAAAAACAAGCTGAACATCTTGACACATATACACTAACATGCTTAGAAATGAATCGGGATGTACAAACACAGTTATGAGTCATATAACGATGTTTCAGTCAATGATAGACCACATATGTGATGGTGGGCCCAAAGATTATAATGGCATACATTTTTACTGTATATTCTATATGTTTGATAAGCTTAGATAAACAAATACTTGCCATTGTGTTTTAATTTCCTACAATATTCAGTACAGCAATATGCTGTGTAATTTTGTAGACTAAGAGCAATAGGTTAGACCATATAGTCAGGGAATATATAAAATTATAGCCCATACAATTATGCACAGTACATATACTTGAAAATAATAAATAGCTATGTTGCTGGTTTATGTGTTTGCCATGCTATATTTTAATTGTGATTTTAGACAGTACTCTATTTAATTTAAAAATTTAACTATACAGCAGTCTCAGACAGGTCCTTCAGGAAGGATTCCAGAAGAAACCATTATTATCATAGGAGACAAAAGCTCCATGAGTGTTATTGTCCCTGAAGACCTTTTAGTGGAACAAGATGTGGAGACAGAAGACAGTGACATTGATAATCCTGACCCTGGATAGGTCTAGGCTAATGTTTTTGTTTTGTCTTGGTTTTTAATATAAAAGTAAAAACAAAACAAAATTTAAATATAGAAAAAGCTTTATAGATTAAGGATAGTAAAAAGATAATATTTTTGTATAGCTGTACATTTGTGTTTTAGGCTAGATATTATTATCAAAGAGTTAAAGGCTAGGTGTGGTGGCTTATCCCTGTAATCCCAGCACTTTGGAAGACTGAGGCGGGAAGATTGCTTGAGCCCAGGAGTTTGAGACCAGCCTCGGCAACATAGTGAGACTTCAACTCCAAAAAAAAAAAAAAAAAAAAAGTTAGCTGGGTGTGGTGGCATGTCTCTATAGTTCCAGCTACTTTGGAGGCTTAGGCAGGAAAGTCACGTGAGCCTAGGAGTCCAGGGCTGCTGTGAGCCATGATTGTGCCACTGCACTCCAGTCTAGGTGACAGAGGGAGACCTCCAACTCAAAAAAAAAAAAAAAAGAAATGGTTGGAAAAGTTAAAAAAATTGAAACATTTATAAAGAGAAATAGTTACTGAAATCTAAAGTTACTTTACTATTTAAGAAAGAAACATTGTAATACATTTAGTGTGGCCCAAGTATCCAGTGTTTACAAAGTCTGCAGTCATGTGCAGTAATGTCCAAGGCCTTCACATTCACCCACCACCCACTCACTGACTCACTCAGAGCAACTTCTAGTCCTGCAAGTTCCATTCATGATAAGTGTCTTATACAGGTGGAACAGTTTTATTTTTAAAACTTATTTGCTGTAACTTTGACCATTGTGTTACACGGCCTACAATATTCAGTACAGTAACATGCTGTACAGGTTTCTAGCCTAGGAGAAATAGGCCATAGAGCCTGGATGTGTGGCGGGCTGTATCAGCCAGCTTTGTGTCAGCCCCCTCTGTCATTTGAACGATGATGAAATTGTCTCATGGTACATTTCTCAGAACGTGTTCCTATTATTAAGTGACATGTGATTGTACCATGTTTTAATATTCATTACCTCTTGAGGGTGAGTTTATGCTCTTATTTTACTTGTGCACATTTTTGTTTATTATTTTAATATTTTATATAAAAAAATCAGAAACTTAATCTGAATATTTTGGCTGTTATAGGAAATTCTCTAGCTTTTGGTGGTTCAATAGGTGACACGTGAAGAGCTTGCCTGGAAGCTAGTCACACAACTTGAGTTCAAATCCTGGCTCTTCCTCTTACTAGACGTGTGACGTTAGAAATGTTTCTTTCTTTTTTTTCAAAAAGCTAAAATTAGTAGAGTAAAATTTTATAAAGTCAGACAGGAATTTTTAACTGTGTGTAAGTTTTCATAGAAGAGTTTCATCTAAAGACCATTCCAAATAACATTGCCAGAACAGTTGGCTTTTGCTGCATAAAAAACTATCCCCAAATTGAATGGCTCTAAATTAAACTATTATTATTATTATTATTATTTTGAGGTGGAGTCTCACTCTGTCACCCAGGCTGGAGTGTAGTGGCATGCTCATGGCCACCACAGCATCTACCTGATGGGCTCTGGGGATCCTTCCGCCTCAGCCTTCTGAGTAGCCGAAACTGCAGCAGCGCGCTGCCACACCTGGCTAATTTTTTATTTATTGTAGAGAGGAGATCTCACCAAGTTGCTTGGGCTGGTCTCAAACCCGCGAGCTCAGTCAATCCACTCACCTGGGCCTCCCCAAATGCTGGGATTACAGGCTGAGCCACTGTGCCTGCCAGAAACTATAAATGTAACACCTAGTTCTGTGGATGCAAGTTTGGGCAGGACTCAGTTGGGCTGACTCCTGCATCTGTGGTCACATGAGGCTCCCTGTCTCTCACCCCTCTGCAGGCTAGGGTGCGCCTGCTTTCCTGGCAGCAGCTTTCAGAGAAAGGGAGGGGGAAGGGGAGGGAG